TGACAGATTATTTCCGTACTCTGTGTTGCAATTCTGTAACTCAAATACTTTTATTGTTATACATAAATACCTGGTATATATATTTTTTGAGAGCACACAAATTCTTCTATTTGCCCTAAGCTGTTGTATGGGTGGAAAATACCTGGTGACAGTGTGGAAAATTTGATGCATAAACAATTCAAAGGCATGAATAAGTAAAGAAGTTTGCTGCAGACATTTCTCACAAATTGCGCATAAAAATGGATTAAGTTAGCACTGCCTTGTAGCAGTGTAGTTGACATGGTTTTGAAGAATGTTTTTTTGCCATTATTTTAAGCGTAAAAATATAAGTTGAATTTTTTAAAATTGCTGCTTCTTGGAAACAAACCAAAGTCCAGGAGTTTGAGCTTTAGGTGGCAATACTAATGGCTCCGCGAAGTTGAGGCAAGGAGGGCCAAAGCGGGCAGTATTATTCTGCTCTAATGGCCAAAGGACTATTAAGAGATGCTCGGATTTATGGGAAACTCAAGATTCAGATCAGCCACGAATAGGGCTGTAATGAAGAGTAATTGATCTCCGAAAGATAACAACCACTGGCATAGCCACGGCATCTGTGGGCATCCGTTCCTTAAAGACTCATATAGTGACAGGATTGAACAAACGTCATTTGCGGATTATCTTAGTAGAGTCGTAAGCGACTCGCCATAGAAGATGACAAGACTGTGCTTCATCACATAATGAAGACACAGCTTCATAAAGCTCCAACTGATGGAACTTCTTCTTTCTACAGTATCGATGCTAGGCCTGGTTAAAGTTCAGAGACACTGGAAATCCTGAAAGCAACGGCTGGTTGGGGTTGATGAGCCATAGACCGATGTGGATTGCTTGCTTGACAAAAGGGAGCAACTTTGTGACGTAAACTGCAAGTGTGTAAGTGCCCGTGCCAAAAAGTCGCACGAACCCTTTAAAAAAAAAATTAACAAATGACATTCGACCGCTTATTCTTTACGGAATTATAGCATGGTGGCCTGCCTTGGGCAAGGCCTCTAAACTTAATCTACTCAGAAAAATACAGAGGATTAGTATGATCTACATCAGCGTGGCAATCCTGACAATGCCAAATGACGCTTAAAATGTCTTTTTGGATCTTCTGCCACTAGATCTAGTGGGTGAGCAGATAACATCTCAAAATACATATAGCTTTCTTACTGGTTATACAGACCCTTGTGTCGAAACTCTGGTTCCGTATAGAACCTGCGACATGAAAATCCCAATCCGGAAGCTACTATACTACACCCGGTAATATATTAATTTCTACATTTGGTTAAAAAAGGAGCGGTGGATCGTAGGGGGAGCTCCTAATTTCGGCTACCGGACTTCGGATTAAAAAGGTAAAATAGTTTTTATGTTTAGTGACAGCCAAGCAGCAATTAAAGCCGGGAGTTCCATCACAATTAAATTAAAAATTTTGCTGCGACTGCCGCCGATCTCTGCAAGAGATAGCTAAGTGGAACTGTCAAAACTTCATGGGAATATATGTTTAGTGAAGGTAGGGTAAGAGAGGATTCGATAAGCCAAAGTGCAGCCTTTTTTATGGCCGCGAGCTCTGCTTGGAAGATACAAAAAATTACAGCTGAGTTTTTAGTTTTTTTTTGTATGGAGGGCGCTGCGCTTGGTCAAAGTGTATTTTCATATACAAGAAAATCTATTTTTATATAGAACAAAATATGTTTTTATATAGAAGAACACTCTTCACAAGAAAAATTCCCAAAAGTCAATGGAAATCTATACTGACTTGAAACTTTCACTTCGCATTTGCACTAAAATTGAATGAGCAACAAAACGGCATACTCCAATTTTCTAAAAATCCCGAATAAAATGCTTGAAATTTTGATGATTTGTTTTTTTAATTTTATATGTATAAAGTGTGAAACTTTGATTAATATGGTTTATATTATAGAATGAACTATATTTTCATAACGAAAAAATTCTTTCATGAAAATAATTGTCAATATTTTACGAGAACAAGGTGTATGCTAACTTTTAAGTCTGACTGTATAACCTAACTATGGAACAACGCACAATCACAAGCTGAATACTTCCATTTCATTTTTACAGGGATATATAGAGTACATAGCTCCCTACAATTTATGTATAGAAATTAAAAAAATAAAAATAATTGGATAATGGGGATGAGAATGACGGTCGAACGAGTGAAGCTATTTTCGCACTTCACACAGCTTGACAAAAAAATGCCCATCCTTCAGCTCTATAAGCATATCTAGCCCTAATGAGGCTGGCAATGACATAGCTGGAATTCCGATCGACTTGAGGGTGTCAAACAAATGACGAAGCAAATTTGAATGGAGTGAGACTGATGCTGCTATTAATTGATTTCAGTGTGCCAACATGGTGAGATTTATAATAATGTACTTGTAGGCGTATTTATTTACTAAGTTAAGCTAATGGCAAGTAAAATTAAATGCTGGTCATTATTGGAACACCTGAATGTTGTTTTGTAAATAGCGTTCATTAATTAAGGATTAAATACTCGATTTGTTATAATTACAACACTTACAACAAATGCGCAATTAATTAAGTTGATTAAGAGCTAACAGGGTAGCAGAAGAAGGCGTGCGAGTGTCTAGCAGGTACTCGTATGAAGAAAATAGTTAAGTGGGCGTCATTGGTTAGGGTCATCGAAAGCTAATAAATAGCAGCATAGTGAGGCTTGCTCGATTGATGCGGATGGTAACTGAAGGCTCTTGAAGGCATGTAATAGTAATTTTATTGGGGATATTTGAGCGTTACTAGTACGCTAGGCGCCATTATCTTAATATTTCGCCTTTAAACTAAATATTTGCAGCAAAAATTTTATTATTTATTTACATAAATAAAAGTAATAAATTAATGCATTTGTTTTTGTTCTTCTCCTTGCAGCTAAATGATCTTATAAGCGATAACACCAACTAGATTAAGTGCTTGGCAGGCAATGGAAAAAATGTTTATTTTTATTTAATTACAAATATTTTGAAATCAAAGCAATTAAACGAAAAGTGAGACAACCTTAGCTAGATTCATTAAAACCAAAAAAAAGCAACAAGATTAGTAAACCAATAAATCAATAATTTAAGGTTATAGCGAAAAGAAAATTAAAAAAAAAAATATATGTTAACGAAAATAACGCCATTGTGATTCTTAATTATAGCTAATATTTATGGAGCCATTGTAAAATTTAAAAGCGGCAGCAAGAAAAAAAAACAATTGTTAAGTAACAAAATAATTTTAGAAAACTAGCAACATAATAGTACCTTAACTTAATGTGAGCCCAGTTTAAATTAATTAAAATAATTTCAAAAGTAGTTAGCTAAGCAGCAAAATCAAATACGAAAGCGAGCAAAAGAAAAAATTAAATTAGTCAAAGTTTGCCATTAAATTATAAAATTCTTAAATAAAATTCAAAATACTAAATGCTAAAAGTAGTGTGCAATTTATCAAAAAATCAATGCAATATTAGTTCAACGCAAATTAAAAGTCATCAAGATCAATTAAAAATAGTGTTAAAAACAGAAATAATACAGATAAAGTCGCGCTCCAACATTTTAAATAATTTCAATAAACAATGAAAAAATATTTACGTTTCGCTATCGTAGCTAATTAGATACGTATTTGTTTAGTAGTACAAAAAAAAATCATAAAAAAAAAATAAAAAACACAAAATTATAAAATATTAAAAAAAAATATTTAAACTTTCACCGTAGTCAAAATATAAAAGCTATCCAGCGTAACGTCAGCCGCCCATAAGTTACACACGCCGCTGCTTGGTATAGAAAAAATTAAAAAAAAAAACAATACCAAATAATGTGACAAAATCCAAATACTTCCCTACCACTTCAACAAAGAAATGTTTTGAAACGAAAACGTTTAATTAAAGTACTTAAAATAAAATCTAAACTATGTAAAAAAAGATACCATCTTAAAAAAATAATTTAAAATATTAAGTAAGGAAGTCACAAATAAAGCTGTACTCGGTAAAAATTGTGCACGCAACGGGAAAAAACCCAATCATATTCTGTATAAAATTTTCAAACACTGCAAAAAATTTCCACTATTCATCTTGCTTCAATGGTTACTCAAATAAAAAACCGATTACTCGTGCAAAAAAAAATTAAGCCATGTTTGCAAAAGTATAACTGCAAATAAATAAGCACTTCATTGCTATACGAAAAAATATCCAACTAAAATTAAAACCGGTTATGCGAGGCGGCATGCAAGTTAATTATATATTGCAATGAAAAACAACAGTTAAGGTCGCATTCGCACACTGCTAGGTACAAACGACTGATATGAAGGTAAAACGCATAGTTATCGAAAAAAATTAGAAACCGATTACTTTAATGAAAAATTCCTTAAACTGCTGCAAATCGAATACTGATTCAAATTGAAACGCAATAGTTCTATAAAAAGCTTCCTATAACTCTTCATAAAAAAGCGGTTACTTAAATTAAATCCGGTTACTCAAAGCTAAATTCGTGTACCTATATAAAGTTCGAACATAAAAAAAAACATAACTTTAGTGGCCAAATTAAATAGTTGTCTTTGAAACAGCTACTTCCTAAATAAAAATAAAGCAAATATAATTCACAAATCACTGAGTCGATTACTTTGTGCAGTGACAGTTGCCGCCTAAGCAGTTTTACAATCTCCGCGTTTTGATAGTTCGTGATACGCAAAACAAAAAATAAAACCGTTTACCACCCACGCTGCTGCAACAAACAACAACGCCAGTTATCCTGTTACCACTAATCCACGCCAATCTACAGCAAATGCTTCTAAAGCAAATTCACAAAATTTAAATAAAATTTTTTTAATTTTATCAAAGTTACGTAAAAAGTGTATTTTTTGTGTTTTTTCTTGTGTTTCGTAAAGTTTTTTTGTTTTGTAAATTGGTTTGTTGTTGCCTAAAAATCAACGTAATCGCAAACGCACCGATACGCGCTATCACGCGTTGACGTGCTCACTGTGCCACTACCACCACTACCACCAATTTTCAGGTTGTTTGTTGTCGTTTTGTACATTTTTGTACTAGTGCAACAACAACAACAGCCGGCAAAATGACGATGTGGCAGAGTGGCGGCATGGGAGGCCATGGCTCCCAAAATAATCCATGGATGAAATTGATGGGCATCGTGCATAAGGAGCGACGACACGCAGACAACGTACAATCACAAAGCGGATCGAATGAGCGGAATCTAAATCAGTAAGTACCAGAAAAAGTAATTATAAACTTATTTACGAATATGTAATTTTTGCAATTTACGAGTATATTACAAGTGAAATTATTTAATTATAATCAGCGTTATCATGAGTTAAATTTTCCCCGAACCGGTTCATTTTTCACCATGGTTTTACTATGGGCGGATGACAAATTTTTGGGGTGAGTTTTTTTCAGGCGAAACTCAAAAATCGGTTAAATACCATAGGGAATAATTCCTTTTTAAAAAGTTCCATTTATTAAATTTATAAGTTCAACACAATTTTACAACATGAATGCCAAAAGAACGAGGCTTATTTTTTAAGAGAGCTGCCACCTGCTTTAAGCTTAAAATTCAGTTTTCTTAAAACGTATGCTGAATAAAGTATTGCAATATGGATGAAAAACGAAAGTGGTTTGTCAAAGTTTTATTTCGAAAATATTTTTAAACAGGGCTGCCACATCGTCATTTAAAAGAAAAATTAATTTAATCAAAGAAATTAGTGTAATATTAAAATATTGATGAAAAATGAAATAGCTTTAAGAAAGCTTTATTTCGAAAATGTTTTTAAAGAGGGCTGCCGCATATTTTTGAAGAGAGTTACCACCTCTATTAAGTTAAATTTAGTTAATAAATTGAGTGACATTTTACAATATGACTGTCGAACATATGATTTTTAAGAAAGCTTTACTTCGAAAATATTTTAAAAGGGAGCAAAGCTTTATTTCGAAAATTTTTTTTAAGAGGGCTGCCACATCGCCATTTAAAAGATGCATTATTTTATCAAAAAACCTTGATTGAATTTTAAAATATTGATGCTAACAAAATAGCTTTAAGAAAGCTTTATTTCCGTTTTTGTTGAAGAGGACTATCACATATTTTTGAAGAGGTTTGCTATCTCTATGACATTAAATTTAGTTTATATGTTGAATGGCATATGGCAATATGAATATCCAAACGAAACAGGCTTAAGAAGGCTTTATTTCGAATACATTTTTAAAGAGGGTTGCCACCCATTTCAGGACAAACTTATTTCCTAAATAATTTTAGCTGAGTATTAAAACATGGATGCCGAATGAAAGAAGTTGCACACAGCTACACAGTACAGAAAATATGTTTGAAATGTGTTGCCACCTGTTTAGATTTATTTTTATGGATTTAAAATAACAGAAATTTCGGAAAGTTTTATTACGAGAACTTTTTTAAAAAGGTTGCCATCTGTTTAAAAGTCAAAGTCAATGAACTTTCAGAAATCATTATTTCGAAAACCTTTTTAAAGAGGGTTGCCATATGTTCAAAAGTCAAAAGCTAATGAACTTTAAGAAAGCATTATTTAAAGCATTTTAAAGTACGTTGCCGCTTGTTTAAAAGGAAAGTTCTGTTTAATTACACTGGATCACAAAGTTGTGTTTTTAGTTCCACATATACCAATATTATATATTTTTTGTATGGGGGAGAGTACCGATTGCTTAATGCTGAAAAGCGGTTCTGATATATCAAAAGTGCTAAAATGAGAGTTAAAATCCTGACATAAGCAATGGAGTAGGTCGTGCAATTTAAAATTAGCTACAAGCTTTCAGAATTAGGAGACAAAAGTGCCTTGATACACGAGAGTGAACATTAAAGCTAACATCAGCCAGAAGAGACGGACTTAAAATTGAGCCTGTCAGTAAATTAACCATAAAAATTTTACCACGCACTTCCCTGCGGCTGACAAGTGTAGGAAGGTTAATAAGTTTTAAGCGCCTTGTATAAGGTGGAAGATTATATTGATTATATTTATTATATTGATTATATTGGCTAATGTACATAAATACTTCAAGTAAGCAAATTTAATGCTTTTAAACTACGCCCTCTAAATTCACAGCTGTGCGATAATTAAAAATTGCCTTTGTCTCAATCATCACTTCATAATTTTCCTACTGCAATAACATGCCACACCGTATGGTTCTTCAAGTGTGAAACTGTATTTGATTTACGACGGCATTACGATATTCCATCATTAAATAGATTAATTAGTTTGTGGCATTGTGCGTGCGCCTTGGCAGGCATGGCATTTGCAATTGAAAGCATACCATATGCACAGCTACGTTTTCCTGCAACCACCCACTAATGCAATTTAAGCATTGATTGCAATTGACTTCCCACACAACGCAGGATTCAATGTAAATTGTAATAGCAGATAACAACACCTTTGCATTATAAGGCAGCACTCTATGTGTAATGCTACACAAACACACACATACATAAATGTGTAAATAATTGAATGCAAATCAACACTTTAAAGTAGCAATGCGCTTGTGCATGTATATACATATGTATATTGAAATGTGTACGTAACTAAGGGCCGGTTTCTCCATCACTGGTTAACTCTAACTCCCCGATTAAATATCGTTATCGACGTTCTTACCTCATGCATTTAACAGGGAGTCGATAACATCGGTAACTATGTTTAACGGGGGAGTAGTGTTAACCAGAGACAGAGAAAGCGGCCCTAAGTATGTGGCAAGTGCCAACAGCTGTAGCTGCGCGACCAATCGCGTGATTAATCCTTATTGCATATACTTCAATGAGTACTTGAAGGATTTAGTTTGTATAGCGTAGGATTTTAGCGAGTGCGTTATAAATGGCTTACATGCTACTAATACTCGCAGTTGTATATATGCATACATACGTAATATGTAAGCATACATATATACGGAGGCGTGTACATATGCACATTAGGCTGCATCACTCCCCATACAAAAAAAAAATCGGAATTATAAGATCTATTATATTTCAAGACGTCCACCAAAATATTTCGGAAAAATATTAAGATTTAAGCGAGCTGTACCGATTTGAAATTACCTCCAAAAATGGAATTTTTTATGAATAAAAATGGTTTCTTAAAGATGTTGTTTGAAAAAATTCTCTTAAATGACCATACGCTTTAAGCTTAAAAAATGGACATAAAAATATTAAAAAAAAATTTTAACGGAATCGTTATAATGAGATCTTTGGTGCTGTTTTTTTTATTTTTTTTCAAAGATAGGAATAAGAAAAACTTGAATAACTGAACCTAAACCTTTCCGATTTAGACTTGTGAGATATCATTGGAAAGGTATTTTCTCATCCTTTTTATTTCTTTGCTAATAAGCTCATTCAAAGGATGAAAGAGAAAGGTAGGATGCACGAACATCATTCAAAGTTGAAATGCCAACACATCGGTATTTGAAAAAAAAAATAAAAAATTGGGACACGAATTACTTTTTTTTGCACATTAAAATAAAATAAAAATAGTGGGAAAATACCTTTCTACCGAGATCCCAGAAGTCTAAATCGGAATAGTTTTGGACCAGTTATTTAAGTTTTTCGTAAATCAATCTTTTAAAAAGGTAAAGAAACAGCATCAAACATCTCATTATTACGTTTCCGTTGAAAATATTTGTAAATATTTTTATGCAGATTCTTTAAGCCTAATCTGTTTTGTAATCGGAGGGGACTTTTTTTTTAAAGTTCTTTAAGAAACTCTTTTGATTCATAAAAAACTCCATTTTTGGAGATATTTTCAAATCGTTCGAGCTCGCTTAAATCTTAATATATTTCCGAAATATTTTGGTGGACGTCTTAAAATATAATAGATTTTGTAATCCCGGCGGAAAAACTGAATCTCTTTTGGTGATGCAGTCTAATGTACATATATATTAACGAATGAATGGGCATAAATGAATACATCACTCGTTGCGCCCTATTTCTGTCAAGAAATATTGATTATGCTTACAAATTCAAAATTGTTAAATGGACATGTTTTATGTTTACATATTTCTATGAATAAATGCAAACTAGTGAATCCGTATGGCATTAAAACACCAAAATTATTGATCTAGAAATTGCTCGCAATAGGAGAAATATTCAAAATTGCAAAAAGTATTTTTGCATTAAATCAATTCGTACCGGTAAGAGCAAAATTAAAAAAAAAAAACCGTATTTCACTTGCCTTTAATTTAACACCTTATTTTTGAAATTCTCGTATTTATACGTATGGATAATTAAAATTTCAGCAATTTTACTCTTGCATCACCGATTTTCTCCATAAGTTTTTATTACATCACCGATTTCGCTGAATACCTCTCTTTTATTATTAGTTTATCTTACGAAATAGCGTGAAGCTAACTTTTAAAACAGGTGGCAACTCTCTTCAAACACCTCATATATATTCTACATAAACGTTCCAGCTATAGATTTCTTAACACTATCTCGTTTGACACTCATGTTTTAATATTTCACATAACTTGAATATAACTTGATTAAATTCGAATTTACATTCCGATGGCAACCCTATTCAAAATAATTTCAAGCTAAACCTTTTTAAACCTCTTTCGTATCAGACGCAGTTTGTGATAACTTCAATTACCAAATTCCCTTAATTTAAGTGGAATTTGAGTTTTTAAATAGGTGGCAAAACCTTTTCGATTGATACAAATGTATATTGGAGTAATTCATTTAACTTATTCAATGAGTTAAATTTAATTTTCTAATAGATGCCTTTGCGTATTACAAATATAAATATCGACGGCTGAGTGGAAGGTCAACCTACATATATCGGCAGCCAGTTCGCAAACGCTTCATCTCAGAAATCTCTTCAAGAACGCGCTATCTCAGAATTGGTACAAAAACACTATCTCAACTGAAAATACATATGTATATTGAAAACACATTGAGATGGGGCGTTTTCGAACTGACTGCCGAGATATGTTGATCTTCCACTCAGCTGTCGATATGTAGATGGCTTAACTAGGATACCCAAAAAGGTTCTTGGGGAACTATAACCTTTTAAAAGGTTT